TGTGGCCGGTGGCCCCTAGAAAAATCTAAGTTGTGCAGGTCTGTTTAAGATTGTAAAAATTGTATTTTTTTATTGTTTATTTGAACATTTAATTTTTATTTATTAAAATATTAGGCATAATTAAAAACTCACAACAACAAATTCTCTTTGTTCGGTTTCTTTTGTCTTTTGCATCACTTGGTACTTACTACACATGTCCTAACAAATTATCCCGCTGTTTGCTGATTATTTTGACTTGTAGGTAACTGAGGTAACTTGTCGTGTGCTACCATGGAGGTAGAAGGTAGGGAGACGCTGTCACGTGGTCCTAGACGGATTCACTTCCGCCATATTGTGTTCACGAATCCTCCAAACAGCTAATCGTGGTTTCAATCAACGTTTTTTTTTAATTTTTATATTGTTTGCAAACTAAATATATATTATACATATTAAAAGTTAAACATTGGTTGCTTGTGCTCAACGTATTTTTAGCAACCTAATAGATATTTATATGAAGAAATTATCTGAAATAAAATTACACAACTAAATATACAACATAGTACACAATGTGCAGGGCCGTATTTGAGATATTAATAATTGTGCTTTGAGTGAGAGGGTTTTATAAAGATGAATAAAAAATGAGAGAACTTGCTACAGTTGGTGCAAAAATTAGATTTAAAATAATCATAAATATTCTCTTTGTTATCTTAAATTCTAGAAATTTACTTCAGTTTCATTATAAAAAGCATTTGTCTTTAAAAAAATTATGAAGGTATAGAAACTTTTTTAAATGACATGGATAAGTATACTAGTGCCCTAAAAACATGTAATTTACAATACCAACTCACATTTACAAATTTTACCAATATGCTAAATATCTCAAGACTATTGTATTCAATTACATCGAGGCCACGACAATAACTCCACCTCCCAGCAATTTCTGGGGGGCTATTTTCAAACTCGAGAAAGTGATTTCTCTCAAGATTTTCATGAGAAATGTCATACGTCATCATAAAAACAGTATTTTTAAAGCCAGTGAAAACTCAGACTCTTCCTTTTGGTTTATTTCGAGAGGATTAAAATTCTCCCAAGAATTTGAATTCTCATTGGCTTTAAAAATACTGTTTTCATGTTTACATATGACTTTTCACATGAAAATCTTGAGAGAAATGATTAACTACTTTTAAGTTTTAAAATAAGTCAGTAACTTACAAAAATTATTAGTAGTTTTCGTGGAAATTGTATTCCTCTAGAAAGACTTCAAATTTTAAATTGTCCTCTTCATCAAATCAACAAATCGTCAAGAGACTAGAGTTCTTGGCTTATCAGAGAGTTACGGTAGTGTGCTAGACGTTACTGAGTATGATCAAATTATTTACTAAATCCCACGCCATCGGGATTTACAAAATATATTGTTATACATATATTTAAAGTGACCATATTTTGAAAAATAGAAAGCGAGACAAATCGAAAACAAGAATATATTTCTACGAATTCTCTTTGCAGTAATGACGGTTTGGTTCATTTAAGAGTAAAAATGCATATATAAAAAATGGGATGTGTCACCATAAAAATTGAAACATTTATATTTTTTTCGTTAGACAAAAGTGGGACACATGTTAAATCGGGACGGTCCCGCCTAAATCGGGCCAAAAATTTTCATTTATTGACAAAATAAATAAAAAAAGCCTATATTATATTCCTCTATGCTTTATGGAATGTTAGACGTTTGTCTGTAATGTAAACAAATAATAAAAAGGAGTTATTCCTTTAAATTATCCACCTTATTTTAGTAAAGAAGGTGTATGTAGTGTGTTCATTGCTACAATAAGTCATTTATAAATAAAAATATATTTGTAAATTGTACAGTTTTGATCAGTATCCCTTGTAGGTATAACCTAACAAATATACAAACATTAGGATGTTTTACCTCATTAAAAATAAAATGATAGCATAAGACATCATAACAATAAAATTGTATTTTTTAATGGCCAATATAAACTTAATTTTTATATTATTTGTTAGTTTACTATAAAATATTTTCAATTAATACCTACCAACTGTTTGATAATTCTATGTTGTCAGTTATGTTAAACCATGATATATTAAATGAAATTTCTAGACTTTATTATTCGATAAAATACTATCTTCCATTTGCACATTTTTTATTCCTTGCAGTGGCGTGCCAAGGTTTTCGTTCAAGTTGAATTATAGTTGGTTAATTTTCAGTTAAATTTTATTTTCAAATATTTGCTTATATGATTTTCATTTAAGTAAATTGAGATTGGTAAGTTTCAATTTATTTGAATTATAGTTGGTTAATTTTCAATTAATATACTGCCTATACTGGGCGACAACAAAACTACTGTCTACGGTGATATTTCAAATCGGTTTATAGATAGATAATATTTGTTGTGACATCACCTAGATATTTTGATTTTTTTTTTTTAACTTTTTTAAGAATAAGAATTCTAATTATTAAAATTCATAGCGTTATTAACGTACCAAATTCCATCTATAGTTTATGGCCAATATAAGTTGTTTTACATGTTTGAAAAAGATACTTATAGCGTCTCCTACCTTATAACTGTCAAGTGCTCTGTGAACGTTGAACATTTTGTCAAACTGATTTTCGACTCCGATAACTCATGAAATCGCAATGCGCATGCCCATTTGTTGTGGACTTGTCGGCTACAGGCTCCGCAAACAAAGCTAATTATAAACGTTAAAGTTCCAAAATAAAAAATGGTTACCCAGCACAAAAATGAACAACAATTAGCAGCCTCTATATGCTTATATCAAAAGAAGTGCCACCAGTTGAGGAATAGTTTATTTATAAATCTTTCACTGTAGAACTTACCACAATTAAAACTAATTTGTATTTAGCAAAGTATTTTAACAGTCATATTTGTCAATTGCATGGAAAGACTTCCCTGTTTTCATTTATATTTTTATTTCTTGTTTAGAAATATTATCGCTACTCTTATAAAATTTTTAGTGATTTTACAAATAGTTTTGTGGCTATGGTTTGTAGCCACAAAACTATTTTTGTGTTAAGGTAGAGAGCTTTGTCTCTAAATAAAGCAAAACATTACAAATTTTAACTTTAGGCACATTAGTTATAAAAGAGATATGACTAGAAAAAACAATATAACTTTGACATTATAAAAAGAAATCAAGCTCCCTTTAAAATCGTTTGTAATAATTTGAATAGATGTATATATCGTGTCCTTGAAATATGAATAATTTTCTTTTAAATGCCACCCATTCTTTACTTATGATTTAATTAAGCTCTTTTTAGTCTACTTTCGTTTCGTGGTATTATAGTTTGATTTTAAAAAGTTGCAGAAAATTTTATTATAAGAATGAAATTTTGGATATTGGATAGCTATATTGTAAGCAACGTTTATTATTCTATTTTCTAACTAGATTTTATAAAATTCAAATTGAACTGTATAAAAAGAAATTGAAGTTAACATACTGCCATTCGAAAAATGTCAATGCATACCTTTTCTGAAATGATTAAGATTTGAAAACTATCCATCTTTAAGTTCTTTCCTTGTAAATGTTTTTGTCTAAATTGCTTCCAATAAATTGGTGGGATCTTCTTCAATTTGTGATGGTAGTGTTAGTGTCACTAAAACAGAAATACACTTTTTAGATAGGATTTTTTACACATTTTTATATTATTTTATACACAGGTAAGTGATTAAATGGTTTTATGTGCTTGCAAAACGGACTACGCTAATGAACTATAGGCTAAAATAATCACCAAACATCACTTTGGTGAGGACTCGGGGCATTCTGTGAAACATAGACATAAATACAACAGCCAACAATAATAATATTTATTAATCTGAAAGTTTATACATCAACTTACAATAATTATTGATACATATAATAATTAATAAATATGTGAAACCCACAGAAGGTCAAGCATGTGTATGGGATTAAACAAATTTTATTAAAATGACAAATAAAAAAAATGTAATACTATATATAAATTACTTATCACTTAGGTACCGTCATAGATTACTTGAATAGATGGGAAACTCAATGGTAAAATTCTGAGTCGATGTGCTGCCATCTATCAAATTGGAGTGGTACTAAAATTCAATATGGCCGCCGAGCGGGCTTTTTGAAATTTAACTTTGTAGTAGCGCAAAAATGAAATAAAGAAAATCAAATAAAAGCAAAAAATTGGAAAAATATTTGACTAGTTTTAAATCATAAAACAACCATATTGACTGTTTTGTGATTTGAAACTAGTCAAATATTTTGCCAATTTTTATCTTTATTTGATTTTACTTCATTATATTTTTGCATTAATTTCAAACTTGAAATAAAATGCAATTTATTTTATTTTTTTTTTATTACAGTAAATTATCATCACATAATTTGTCTATTTTAACATGGAAATACTCAAACAAATATGCATTTACACCATTTAAATAATTAAATATTTATAAAACAAACCTATCAAAAATGTTTTCTGTAACAAAATCAGCATATATAAGTGCTCAAGACCTTTAAAAAAGTTTTGTGACTTGGAGTGGCAAATAAGTTTGAAAAAATTGAGGTTGAAGCATCCATCATCCTTTTTTACTATCGAAGCAAATTTGAGTGTGGATAAAATTTGCCATACGGTTATTGAGTTGACTAGTTAGGTTGAGGAGCATTTCTTCATCCGATAATTGTTTTCTTGATTCATTTATACAGCACTTGTAGGCACCGTGATAAATAAATTTAACTTTTGAGCATAAATTAAACTTACACACGTTTGGAACCTTGAAGATTTTAGGGTGTTTTCTTGTTTGATGTCAATGGCATTGAATCAATTTTTGATATTGATGGCTGATGCTCAAATATTTCATCGATCGACAGGGTATTTTGGAGGGCCAACATTCTTTACAAAAATGATCATTTAAAAACTGAAAACAAAAAGAAATTTAAATAACAAACCAATTATTTTAACACTGAATCAAATACAAGTTTGTCATGTGTATAAGGAATAAGGAGAAAGTAAATTAAGGAAAATAAGGTGGTGTAACTGGTGTAATTTACACTGGTGGACACTGCACCAACAGCGAACGAAAGAACCTAAATTGTTTTGTGGTTAGGTTTGTGTGTCATGTCAATGTGTCACTGTCATTTAATATTTCAAAAAATTACATCAGCGAAAAGTATTTTATCGAATTACTAAAAATACCAAATATTATACCTAAAAATGACGTGGAGTTAAAGTAACTCATTGCAAATTTATCAATGAGATGAATATATTTGTTATAATTATATCAGTTTTATTGAGTGTGATATGTGTACTATTAGCATTACTTCAGCATTATTATTTTATTACCAGGTTGTACAAAAGACCCATTATTAAATATGATGAGCCAGTATTCGAAGATCTTATCCCGTCTGATAAAACCAACAAATATAATCACAATTATCCATTGCAGCAATTTGAAGATCATGATTCAGATATAGTATTAAACCAGTTGAACTCAGTCCTAGAATCTCAACCAAAGGAGGACACAATAAGGTATCTTTTAAGAAATGACAAAGCCTCAGGTACAGATACTGAAGTTTACAATACTCTACAAGCTGCTATTGCTTTTAAGTTATCAGGAAAGAGCCACAAAGCTTTGAAGCTGTTTGAACATGCTGCAGCTATTGCCCCTGAAAACGCTGATGTATTAAATAGGTATGGGGAGTTTTTGGAACAGCAACATCATGATATTGTTGCAGCAGATGAATTATATTTTAAGGTATGTCTTGATTATAAGAAGTAAGTCACAAAAATAATACGACAAAGATTAGTGTTATTAAAAGCGAAAAAAGAAACCACTATTTTCATCTGTTATTTTTTTGTATTTATATCTTAAAATACCTACATAGGGAGCAAATTAATAATTTAATTTAGGATATGAGATAGTTCAGATTTTGAATCATGCAATTTAATAATAATAATAATATGTTTTTATTGACTTAATTATAGTCAAAAGGTAGAGTTCAGATGTCTTGGGAAGATTCTCTTAAGTCTTCTATAGAATTTCCTCTTCCATTAAACTATTCATTTTTTTTTATTTCTTAAAGGCATTATCCCATTCTCCAGACCATAAGGCTGCTCTTACTAACCGTCAACGCACAGCTCCAGTTGTAGAAGGCTTAGATTATAAATTATTTAAACAAATTGATGAGAGAAAGGACTTTTTGAAAAATCAAATCAAGCTCGACACCTTTGAAACTGTCAAGAAGCAAGCATACTATTTGCATATCTATCACACTGTAAGATAATCATTAGTGTTTAGATAACATATTTAAAACAAATTTAAAAATTGTAGGTAGGTATAGAAGGTAACACCATGACAGTAGAACAACTAAGATATCTTTTAGAAACGGGGCAAGTTGTTAGTGGTAAAAGTCTTATTGAACACAATGAAGTTCTAGGTTTGGAAAAGGCCTTGCAGTATATAAAATTATTGGTGAAAACTGATTATATTGGTCTAGAACAAATTTTGGGCATTCATAGAAGAGTTATGGGCCATGTTGATCCTATTGCTTCTGGCGTTTTTAGGGATGAAAAGGTAAAATAATTTTATTCGTTTGAAATGTATTATTTTGATAATACATGTCGATTAACATGTACAATTTTTCAACTATTAACAACTTATAAATTGTTTCAATTGTGCACATTTTGTTTAGGTTTTTGTAGGAAGCCACGTTCCTCCTCCCCATGAGGAAGTGCCTACTTTGATGGAAAGCTATGAGCAGTGGTTAAATTCAGAAGAGGCCCAAAGTATGCATCCTGTACGTTATGCCGCTTTGGCTCATTACAAATTGGTTGATATTCATCCTTTTATAGATGGAAATGGACGCACAAGTAGACTTATTATGAATTTAATACTTCTTAAGGCTGGATATCCCCCAGTTATGGTGCTTAAAGAACAGAGGTGAAATTTAATTACCAATCCATTTTTTAAAATATAAACAAACAAAAATTTCATCCTATTTCCCCAAGTATTTTATTCACTGTAAGCTCATATAACTTGCTCGAAAATATTTATTGATAATACTAAATGACTAAAATGTTAATATTTTGATTCATTTTTCAGGGAGAAATACTATGATGCTTTGAAGACTGCAAATATGGGCGACCTAAGGCCGTTTGTGAGATTTGTCGCACAGTGTACTCTCCAAATATTGGACATGTACATTTATGGCACAAGGTATCTGTCTATTGAAGGGGGTATTGATGAAGAAGGAAACAATATTATAACTTTTGAATAAAGCTCTTATTATATTTTTTGTAATAATATTTCCTGATATTTTAATGGTTTTTTAATAGTTTTACTTTCTGTGATAAAGTACCAAAGAAAATATTTTCGATTATTTTTACTAAATGGGCCTTAAATTTTACAGGCACGAGGAGATAACCATAAAAGTTGTTAAAATAGAAAAATATTACACATCTTCCTCTTTGGTTTTTTTTTTTTAATTTTTCACTAGAATCTTAAAACTTTCTTCAGTATAAAATATCATGAAATATTATATATACATTATCTATTCTAATTTTGTCTGAAAAAAATCCATTGTACTTCATAGAAATTATTTGGTGCTATTCTTAATTAATGAGATAAAGTAATAGGTTTAATTATACAAAAAATTATCTGAATGAGCTGAATTATTTGTAATAAACCATCATTTTTTTGTAATCATATTAAATTGCATTTGGTGCCGTTTTTTAATTCAATAAGATTCGGTGAAAAACTTGCAGCCTTGAAAACTGCTTTATATATAAAATTTGTAAAACAAAATGGCGCTAGTAATAACGTTATAACAAAGATAATAGAAGTGTTTACAACTCACTTTAAGGACTGTTTTAGATGATTACAAAAATATAACATTGATGGCTAAATGATACATAATAAATGAGAGGTATAGAATCAGTGTCAGTAATTATTTAGTAATCATAGTTTTGAGAAATGGATAGAAAAATATAAGTTGGCAAATGCATTTTATACAGTTATATAATAAACACGTGATTTGAAACAAATGTAAAAAACGCCTGGACCCTTTAATTTTTGTTTTGATGAAGGCATTTTATGACAAACTGCCACGCCTTTAATCCCTTCGAAAAGACAACCACTCCCATATTGACGAGAAGTCGTATGGTACTTCATTTGAAAGCTAAATTCAAAAATGTATCACACCCTTTAAAATAAATTACAATACAACCCCTATGGTTGTTTAAAAAAGTATCGAGTGGGTGTCACATAGAGGAAATTAAAGGGAATACATAATTTGTTTCAAATAATGGAGTTTATAAAGGGCAAGACTTAATTTCTGCAACATCTTAAATTTAGAGGTTGCTGATTTTGTTTGTAAATAATTATATTATTATTGACGGTTTTGAAAATGAAATGAATGGAAGGATTTTGCCTGTTTTGAATATGAAAGGAACAATGTTAGTGAATAGATCCTATAAACAAAATAAAGTGAACCAAATAGAAGATGTGAAACTTCAGGATTCACAAACTGCATCCTCCTTTGTCTAATGTAGTACACATCACAGTTACACATTAATCTTATTGGGAAAATGGAGAATTGATTGTTTGACTCAGAGCACCTAATCTAAAATTATTTGATTCTATACCCCTCGAGTACACTCTAAAAGTCAATTTGTCATTTAGTTTGACAATTTCGTCAAGTTAAATTCTTTAAAATACAAGGTTTTTCAACGAATGTGTCCTGGTTTTAATATTTTATAAAATTACAGAAGGGGAAGACAATTCGTACAGTTGGGAGCAATCCTCCAAAAGAACAATACACAAAAAGTTACATTTAATTTATCCATTATTTAATAAATAAATTATGTAAAATCTGTGATTACATTAAATATACGTTTCTTCATGTCAATATTTTACAACTTCATTCTGGAAGTGTAAATCCCCTTTTTGATGTTATGTAAATCTACTCGAGACGATTACCATGATTTTCAATCTAATCAGTGCATATTATTATGTAAACATTGCATCACCACTATTTTGACAATCCTTTGGAAATGTTCAATAAGATGACCGAATTTTCATTTTAAAGTTAAACTAATATTAAAACTAGTGTATCAGTTTTGTTCATAAAACCGTAGAACTTAAATCTAAATTTAAAATCGTGCTTTCAAATAAACTTTTCTAAAAACAAAATTGTTCAAATGACACATTATTGGATAAAGAATTAGTTTTCTTGCAATTTTTACATGTAATAAGTTTTATCAAATATTTATAATGTTTCTTTTCAAAAATCTAAATATGTACAGAAAATCTGTGATAAAAAATACTTTTTTCTTCAGAGAGGTGTCTTCTTTAATTTCAAAAAATAGTAATAAATGTCGTTTTTAGGTAAATCATGGTTTGATATCCACAATTATTGAATTTTTCCAAGAATTCATCTAGCTTCCATTTTTTGTTTTATTCAGAATTTTCGTTAAAACAGCGTCTATTTTGTAGTCTTGGTAAAAGTGATTATTTGATACCATAAAATTTTTGTAAATATGTAGTTGAATTTAATTTATTATAATTTATTGAATACTATATGTTAATTAATAAAGATATATTTTGGTTTCGATTGTATTTTCAATTTATTTTAATTCAAAATAAAAAAAAAAAAAACTTTCTTCTATTATCCTGCGATACTAAATTGACAGTTACAGTGGAAAATGAAGCTCTAACCTAGTTTTTCAAATACTCAAAACATTGGTCTAAATTACGTCTAGTAAATCCCCCGTGAAATCATTTTTGTACGTTTAGAGTTCAATGTAACTGTAATGGAGTAAAAACAAACAGATAAATGACGAATAGTTTTATTTTTGTACAGCCGGATATTTATATTATGTACCGTTGTTAGGCTAAAATTATATTCATATATGCTTTCCAATGTGTCATTTATAACCCATAAATGGTAAAATAAAAAATTAAGATACTTCAGTATCTCCTAGTTAGCAATCACACATTACTACTGCAATAAATGATTACGCATTGTCTAATGTAAGGGAGTAAAGCGGTAGCACGAAGAGTTTAGAAAGGTACAGAATATACGTGTGTAAATACGAAGTATAGGTTGATCAGATCGTGCGTCACACCTCAATGCCATAAAGTAATGTATAGATAATAATTTGGACAGAACACCTGATATAAAAGGAACGCCCCCAAGGCACAGTTTCGGAGTAACTCCAGTAGAGATCCATCCTACATCTATCAACTTTAATTTCCATAGGCGTGTGGAAAATAACCATTTTTAGTCCCTTACTAATGAGGTTCCTCGAGTATGGTCACTTTTCTGTGGATCAAAGATTTTTCGGCAGTTTTCTCTTTTGCTTTGCCAACTAGTAAAGCATTACAGTTTCAAGGCTACAGTAGGTAGTTCCCAAAAACAAGTTCGCTCCATATTTTACACAAGGACAATTATACCGATCACCTCCGACAAGGATATTATGCAGATATGTACAAATTAAATCTGGCCCATTTATAAATATACATTATTGCTACCCGCCCCTGTACATATTCACTTTCCCAAAAAATCAATAAAACAACTGAAATTTCAAATGGCTAGAAATAAAACGCATTTGATTGTCTCCATAGCTTCTTCATTTGAAATCTTTCAGACTGGTTTTTCTAATAGCACTTTAGCTTTATTTAAGTCATATTTAACAAACAGGATACAATTCGTTGCTTATAATGGATTTAAATCACAATCAATTGCAGTTACATCTGGAGTACCACAGGGTTCGAATATATTGGGCCTTTATTGTTTTTAATATTTATTAATGATTTATACAATGAAATTAATTGTAACAAATTGTGTTTTGCGGATGATTTGAAGATTTTCTCAAATATTCAGAGTACTGAGGACTCCAACGAGCTCCAGAGAAATTTGAGCTGTATTAACAACTGGTGTAAGACAAATATTTTACATCTAAATGCCCAAAAATGTAAGATAGTTACTTGCTCTAGGAGAAGAGTAAATATTGAACTCTCATATTCCGTTGGAGATAAAATGAGTTAAAGAGAAGCCAAATTTACCTTCTAAAATCACATTTAAGTAGTGTTTGAAGCTTCAAGAATATATGGATTTATTATTAGAAACTGCAATTTTCAACTGCAAATGCAATATCACCTAAATTATTTAGTACCCACGTACGCTCTCAGCTGAAATATTACAGTCTGATCTGGTACCCTTATTACAAAGGCATCGTTATAGATGTAAAAAAGGTTCAAAGAAAATGTATAAAATAACTAGTTTTCAAAATTGATGGAGTATATCCCAAGGAGTTGTGTAACCAATTCGATATCAATAGCCAGAGCCTAAGAAGGAATACGGCCCTCGCTAATCTTTCTGTTTAAATTGATACATAATTTTGATTGTAGCGATATTTTGTCACAAATTAAATTTAATATACCCCACCCCATTTAAATTTAGGAACCAACAAGCTATTTGAATGCCATAGGGCAAAAACCAACTTGATATTAAAGTCACCCTTATATGTAATGTGAAAAAATTACAATAAAATTATTTATCAGTGTTCTCTCAATGAATAATTAAAAATGAAGTAATGTAGAGCAGGCACAAAAGTTGAAAATGCATTTGGTAGGTAGAGAAGTAATAAACGTTAAACCCCGTCGGACGACTTCGAGAAAATCGTGGTGTTTGTTCGCCATAGTCTCATAGAATAAAAATAATACCAAACATTTTAAATTATTACTGGTGGAATAGGGCAAACGTATCTATTTATGGGTTACAAATAATTATTTAAACAAGTAATAATATCCCAAACGTCTGTCCCTGCTCTAATAAGTATATTGTATTTTCTTGGTTTTATTTTTATATTTTCTTTAATACTCTCTTTACTCTTTTAATTTGTGTTTTCTATTATAGTTTCATTTATCTACTTTTATATACTTTTCGTGTATTTATATATTTTACATCATAACCTCTAAGTGCACATCATACTTTTTTAATTTAATAATTTATTTTATAGATACCACTTTTATTATTGTCCTGTAACTGGGAAACTGTTGGACAATTAATAATAATTATTGTGTCACCCTATTTTGTGTTCAGCAGAACTAAAGAAAATGTTTTTTACCCTAATATACTTCAGAATAACAGCACCTGATACAAATATTCAGTTTCTACAATTTCACATCTGTTTGCCATTTATTGCCCCGAGAGCAGGTAGATTTCCCAAATATAATGTTCCACCTTTAGGTCATAAATTTTAATTACTTAGTTTATTAATCGATGTTGGTGATCGAAAATAATTATAATATAATTAATTATTCACAATATAAACAATACAATTATTCCTACAACATTCAACTACTGATCTGAACATAAATGAAAAATATACCCCCAAATAGACATTCCAAGTTTCCTAAATCTTATTAAATCAAACTTCGATTTCTTCTCTAGAAGAACATAATTAATAATAAAATAATACATGTAACAAAACCATGTTGTTGGAATTCTCCTCCGGGAACTAAATAACTTGATTATAAAACTGGCTAGGGAGTACGTTCAAAAACACTATTATAGAAACAAGTTCCAGAACGACGTTTTCGATAATGTAGTGTCTAAAAGCAAATACGATTATCACTATCCAAAAGAAAACCTCACAGTAAAGAAAGAGAATATCGTGATAAAAGTATAAACTTAGCGCGCGTTCGTTGGGTCATCCTATATATAACTAAATGACATATGAACGTCGCCGGGAATAGTACCTTTAATCAATTTTATGTTTCATGGGAGATATGAAATACCTCGTGGTTGCCTATACCACCATTGCCACCCTATAGATAACTGATTCTCTCCCCCCAAGTTGTGCAAGTATTTCAGTCACTCCCTAGATACAACCTTACAAAATACTTATAATAGTGACAATTAGGCTCTTATTAAACGTCAGTCTGTTCGGTCACCTTATAGATAACATCATATCTCTTTTTAATTATTCTGTAAATATAAAGAAAAGGGGTCATTTTATAGGTAACAGTATATTTGGACAGAAGTCATCGTATGTAGAAATAGCTATTTGTATTACTAGGGAGGAAAGTGCCACTTTTCCTCCCGCAGGAAAGTAATTTTTAAATAATTTTGCGGAATTCTAAAAATGGCGTATAGTTGTAGCTCTATTATAATATTTGCCGTTTAACTTTTATTTTTTAAATATATTTAGTTCTTTAAAATATCTTACCTTCATTAATAAATATCATCGGGGGCTTCTAGTAAAAATTTATTTACTTCCTCTCTTGAGAAGGTTTTTGCCTCATTAGGTTTATATCCCTGGTTTTGTCTTTTCAAGAAAGCAATTAATTTTGGGTATTTAATATCCACATTTTCTTTTATTTGAAGCATGGTACGTAGCATTGAATACTTGGACCACAATGTAGAGGCTTTTAATGTATTTGCTAATAGCGAAAAATACCCCAAAATAACATTTTCTGAGTAAGTACGAATATGCCTTTCTTCGGCCCATTGCTTGAAATGTAAATACTATTTTTCGTATTTTTCTTTAGATTTTTGTACTGTTGCATTAACCTGTTCCAAAATATCCGGTGGTGTATTATTTATGTCTTCAAATTCGCTTGAATCACTCATTTTTTAAATATTATTTTATATTTTGTAGATATATTATAGCGTAACACACTTTGAAACTGATCTGTCAATCGACCATAGCATGCTATAATATTTCTGTCCTAAATTCGAAAATCGGATGAATCTATGAATTGAAGTCAAATTATTAATGTAAAAGTCGTTAAATTAAAATAATAATTTACTGATTTTTACTATTTTGCAAAATACAGGGTGTTCTATAAATAAACGGTGAAATTTATACTTATATAATAGAATATAGTTTAAGTCGTCAATGCCGTATAACCTATTTCATTTATGACATACCATGACGTCACTTTTACTTTTCCTCCCTAGGGAGTAAAAGTACTTTTCCTCCCTAGGGAGGAAAAGTACAACTTTGCTCCTTGCAATGAGGCCAGGAAATGTATATTTTAGATAGAGGTAGGCGGAAAAATAATTTATTTCGTCGATATATCTATTACTGCTGTTTTAAAATATAGCAAAAAGCACGCTCACTTTTTTTATTTCAATAATTACAAAGCTTACAAGACAAATTCTTGTTTAAAGTTCTTTATATTATTTTTGCACCTAGGTGAAGAACCTATTACAGATTGTTTATAATGATCATTTACTTTTGCTTGGCAATTTAAAAGTTTTCATCTATACGATAATACATCTGGAAGAGGACGACTGTAAATCTCGCCCACCATGTATTCACCCTTAAATTTAGCCCTAACGCGCACCATCTGGTTCTCGTATCATCACCTAAAATCCGAGATCATATCTAAAGTTATTAAGCTGGCGGCACGAAGTCGTGAGATTAGGACGCTATTCGTATTGAGAATGAATGGTAAAACAATATTTAGGAAAATATTAAAATATCAACCCGCCGTTGTCTGGTTTTACTATAATATATAATTATTTTTAATTTCTCAATGAATAGAATAAATAGGCTTAAAACAAAAAACACGTATATATTAAAATGCTTTTTATTTAGTATCAAGAGTACTGTAATAAAATACATAAGATGCAATTAAAGCTCTAACTACAAAAACCACCCTAATCCGAATCCGACATATAAAGATAAAGTTGCATAAATAAATACTGAATATATTGTAGATTGTTGATATGTATTTCCAAAACAACATCTCTACATTTTTTTTTTTATTTCTAATAGCACATGTACAAACACTCACCTAATTTGAAAAATCTACCCATTATGTATTAATAATAAATACATAAATTTTTTATTGTATTCCTAAAATAATAAAATCTGCCTCTCCCGGCTGAAAAGTATCATTTTAACACCTAATGCGGTAATGAATCAACTTCAGATGAAGAATAAACATTAAACATAGCTACATTAACACTGCAAGAAAAACTGCACATGAAAGTGTCTTGATATACCCTGGGCACTGATGTGTTAGCTGTAGGAACGCTTTTATTGTTTTATTATTGCTAGTGTCTACAAATATTTATACACATATGATGGAAAACTGAAGATGATTTTTGCCTGGACGGTAAAAAACGACATTGAGATGCATACAACGAGAAAAGTATCATTAATAGATAAAGCTTTATCTCACTAGTCCAAGACTTAGTTGATTTAAGAAATATCCAAACCCATTCATATATTAAAAGTATGTTATAGCTACCAACATCTTAGACTAACAAATTCATTAGGAATGGTGAGCGTTAGTAAACGAGCTGTAATGCTAAAATCTATAGTCACATAAAAAAGTCACAGAATAATGAGGCAAATAATAGTTAACAAATGGTTATTATATTTATAACAAAAATAGGGCACTTTACACGGATTCCGTGGGACTTTGGAATTCGGATAGAGCATGTATTGGATTTTGAACTTTCTTTTGTGAACCTTTGCGCACTTTGGCACGGACTTCCTCGGGTTTTTCGGGTCTCACTAGAGGTTTCTTCTCTGGAGCCTTCATCTTCCACACGACAATAGGAGACTGAAAAAGGAGCTATTAGCATGTATTGTTTTAATCAAATATTAGTTATGTATGTTCAAATTTAAACACGAATGTAGTTCTTCATGGAAATAGCAATAGGTTAATGTGTCTTTAATGTGTCATCATTAATTTAAGTTTAAATTAAATTTAAACTGCCAATGAGTCTATATAGTAGGGGAGCCAGTGATATATTTTTATTACACATTTGCACAAGGCTGAATCATACATTTATCATTTATTTATACCTTAATGATAATTCTGTAATTCAATGTTTATTTTTAACGCGTGTTAAATTTTATGATTTTAACGTAAAATGAAATTCTGTAAAAATTAAAATATGTGTTACATTTTCAACAAAATAAACATATAGGCTATAAATAAAATTTAAAGTTCTAAAGATTTTGGGTAATTTCAACAGTTCAAATTACTTTGTACTTGCAAAATGATTAATTGTCATGATTGTATTGCATTATAAGTTGAATTAAACAATCAAAAATTTCTTATATGTTACGTTTTAAAACCTACTAATACGTACCCCTTAATTTCCAACATTTACCGCATACAATTAATAATTCTGACCTTTCGGATTTCGATTTGCGATCTATGATATATTAAATTCACAATTTTCGTACTCAGGTTTACGTCACTTAATGTATGTACATTGAAAATTTAACTCACACAAACGAAGATATGGACTCAGTATGCATCAATGCATTTCTCATATATACCAATGCTGTATAGAAGTATTTAAAGATTGGAGAACGAGCCTGAAATGGCCCTTGGCCCGAATTAGCACATCAAATGGCTGTCTAGAAATCTCGACAGTCAATGTCGTCATGATCTAGCGGCAAGGGAATTTGTGTAAAGATCAAAGATGCCTGGGTTCGAATTCCAGCAGCAACAAGCTTTTTTCAAATCTTACAGTAAGTGTTTTCACCTTTGGGGTTCGGGGATGGTCTTAGTAATTCGTAGGGCGATTTTTGAGATTTGTTTTTGAATTTTAAAATTATTTCATATAATTCTCACCTTTTGGATTTCGATTTGAATCTACGATAAATTAAATTTACAAATTTAATTAATGTTACATATTTAACATATTTCTACTTATAGCATAGATTTTTGCGGTACAAATGAACTAATAAGTTAAAATTTAACATAAGTTTATGGAATTGCTTTTGATATTTAACATACGTTATATTTTTAACGTTAAATTTTACCATATTCATTATAGAATTACCACTCTTGTAGGAGATACTTTGCTGCAGAAGCACCAGCTGTCGAGCGATCGATGACGACGTCTTCAGAAAGCCATTATAGAAAGTTTGCTGCCATCTTAGTAGCGATGGAAAACCTTTAAGTTTGGAAAATGTGTTATAATAATATGTTGTATTAAGCAAGGCTCATTTTTTTTGTGATAAGAATATTATTAATGAACATAGTTTTCTGCAATCGACCTGATGGTGGAAGCACTGGCAAGCAAGAATATACTGTGAGTCGAATTTCAAGAAGGTGGTAGCAAACTTTTCTCTATTAACTTTTTAGGAAAATATCTGCAAGTTTCAAGCCTATACTTTTATAACAGCAGTTTCTACTCAGGCTTTTTTAAGAAGTCTTTGTCGAGAGATCACCACTGCAAGGACTGCAGCAAACTGCTCCTATGTTCTACAAGGTAAAAAAATACGATATTGTATTTTGCCTTTGGCAAATAATACACCTAAGAGTGCCACTAGCTCCCCTACTAATACTATCAAACGAAAAACAAAACGAAATTTATGGATGTGTAATTGGAACTCAGGATAGGAAACAACAAATTTTGTGCATGAGTAATAGAGATCATCAATAACGAGAAAGGTCTATTGTGGGATTTTGGATAGTTTGTCAAGTTTAACACATTATGTTTGATATATCGTCGTCAATATCACGAAATGACGTAACTCGAAAAAATTGAAAATAGAGAAAAGTCACATATTATGTAAAAATATGCTCTACAATTTCACGAAATTGCGTCTCAATTCATTACATTTATTAAAATAGTACGTATCTAACCGGTGTATCTGATAATTTTACGAAGAGTCGTAACTTTATAAAAAAAAATTTTAAAACGCTCTCTTGTATAGTTGTGAAAATCGAGTTACGTCACTTCGTGATATTGACGATAATATGTTTAAAATAAATAAAAATATGTTAGAAAGATACTAATAAAGCTTATTTGAGCTAATACTCTGCAATTTTATTTCAAAGATGGATGACTTTTCTGATGGTACATTAAAGTATTTAAACGTGGAAAGCATGCTTAACTTTTTCAGTTAACAGTTCGACGATCTATTAAAAACGGAAACAAGACACCTGTATCCCAAAACACCGGCGCAATAACCTCTCCAATTGAAGGACATTAATGTTTATGAACTAAAAAAGCACAATTTTGAATGTCTTGAATTACATGTAGCACCAAAATTCCTGATTAAATTTGAGCATACCTTATATAAATAAATATATTGTTTTACAGCTTACAATACTTACAGCTACAGTCCCTTGTCGTGGATATTTGGTAGAAGCAACGTATGAAGCTTTAACGGTAAGAACTACGGCGTTCATTAAATTCTTAGCAGCTTGAATCAATGATGTAGCACTATCAAGCTAAAATATAAAGTATTTACATTAATTATCGATCATCATTTGTTATATTCATAAAAATTATAATAAAAATTTCGATTGACATACCCCTGAAACAATAAGTTCTCCACTAATATTCTGCACGTCAGCCTTAACCTTAGACGTAATGTTCATTTGATGACAGTAAAGAGCAATACGTTGTAGATAAGCAAGAAGATCTTTCTTAGTTGAACTTTCTGGGCATTGTTCTGCAATTTGGCGAGTTAGTTTATCTAATTTGGTACCAGCTTCTGAAATCTTTTTAGCGGCGTTTATAACGTCCATGGTTGTTTTCAGAGGACCTCGACCCCTAAAAAAGATTCATCATGACATCAATTTGAATGAACAAGCAATAACTAAAGCTTAATTTCTACACTATATGAGAACTATAAAAACTGATTTATTATTACTATATTGTGTAAATTGAATTAATAGAACTTTAGATAAACAAAACCATTTTCGAGTTCTGAACATACCCAACCTAATAAATTGGAAAAAACTGAATAGAGCATACCTTGTAAAATCTGTCATTTCCATCATAATCATGCACATATGTTTGGCAAGAACGATAATGTCATTTCCAGTATCGTCCCATTTGGCAACTTCACGGTCAAATTTGAGTTTTTCACTTCTAAAGAATTCTACTTGCTGTAAAATCTTCTGTTTATCCTCTTCGGGCATCTTCCCCATAGCTTCCTAAAAATAAAATAGTTTGAAAATTTCACTATGTTTATCAAAATAGTTTTTGTTTCTTACCCTAGCAGTTGTAATGCCACTAATATCCGGATATTCATCTACGCCATGTTCACCAGTGTGGGCACTCGCTAGAAAATAAAAAAGTATTTTATCTCTCTAATATTCAAGTTAAAACATCTACTTACATTTACTTCTAGTTTCAATCAAGTAATTTTCATCAAGTTCGACATCTTCAGGATCTAAATCCTCATCAGCCTAAAACAAATTACAATTTCAAGTGATTTTTTATATTTGAAGAATTTATTTCAATGCTTACCCTATTCATAAGCACAGCTCTTCTTATCTCTCTAACTCCATCATAAACTAATCTAGAAGCATCAATGAAGTCATTTTCATCAACTTCCTTTGGAGGACTGTTACCAAGCGCTTGTACTGCAACCTGTACTCTTTGAGTAAACTTGGGCATTACTTGATCGTTCAGCACTTTAACTGCTTCCAGAACACGTTTGGTATAAATGCAAGGTTCATAGTTATCCATTTCGGCTGTTACAACATTGCATACCCTGTTAGATCTACCCTTGATTCCGCTAGCAGTGCGATCTAATGTATCAGCCTCACCTAAAAAAAAAAAAAAAAAAAATCAGAATGAACGGACAGAAAATTTACTTAGGTGATAACACTTAGTCGTTTACTGTGCTCACAACTTACCTTCTTGAAGTGCTAGGACGCATTTATTAACATCTTCAAGAATATGGTTCTCGGAAACAGCCAAAAAGTCATCAATAGTAGTGATATCATCAACAGCTTCTGTCAAAATTCGTACTTGGTGTTCCCAAGATTGTTTAAAAGCTTCCATATTCTCTTGAGCAACTTTACTGCGAGGTCTGGCAGCTAAGATTCTAGCTGCGTTTATTACTTCCGGACAAAGATTGTCTATCTGAGCAGCTGCATATCGAACCATTTTGACACCATCTTCATTGTTTGACATGCTGCAGACGAGGTTAGCTACTTCTACAAGTTTATTGGAATGTTCAGTAAAGACGACCGCATATTCCTCTACTTCTTTTTCATTGCCGTTTTGAGCTGCTTTTATTAGAACCAATAGAGGTACGTTGGTTTCCAAGAAACTAAAAATACAATTTATAAAGGAAAACCTTTCCAAAACTTTTAAGGTATTACGTTAATTATTATTCATATTATTCAAGATTAATATATTTTAAATAGAAGAAACTAAAAATATCAAAAGAATGTTTTTAATTTTTACCTGTCAGAAACATGATCAACTACAGCTTTTCTGAGCTGTCTTCTGAGGTCACGGGTCTTTCTGCCCATATTGTCAATAGCCCTGTTAAGACTCTCACTTTTGTCTTTATTGCCAATCTATAATACATAAAAAACTCTAAATCAAAAATCAGGAGACTGTAAGATATTAGTCAACACAACCCAAAAACGATGTCAAAAAATGCTGTCAAACAAAAACAATAAACAAGGCAAACTGAGAAAATTAGAATGATGGGAATTATAAAGAATGTTAGAATTACAGTCAATATACTTTTCAAATTTGCCAATGAAATCGGATTTTTTTTAAAATATTTTAAAAATTAACCTTTTTTTATTTTGTTTTGTATAATGTAGTGGAGAGATGGCCAATCATTAAAAAAAAACAAAAATAGAAATTATGAGAATGAAACACATCAACTATACAGTAAGATAAGTCATGGTAAAAGAAATAATAAACAAAAAATAAATAAATACGTTTTGTCAATAATAATGCAGAATTGGTCTAAATCAGGACTTAATGCAGTGCAGCTAAGCCCACTCTATTTTTTCAGATTGTCATTAATAGCACTTTATTACTGATTTATTGTTCAAATTAAAATTGGATGATGATAGAAACATAAAGACCATGTAATGATAAAAAAAAACGTATGGAACATCAAACATTTTTGACACTGATAGAAATCAATAAACAGCTGAATTATCTAGGCCGTTATGGCAGAATATGTAAGGCCTTAAAAAAAACATTTTGTATAAATTGAATATCGCAAAGATTATTTGTGAACATTTTAGTAATGGTCCAAGCATAAACATGCAAAAATATCGATTAATTGTTATGGAAACATCAGTTACATAGACGCAAACATCCAATGAAGTCTGCAAAAGTTAACTTAGGTAATTACCATTTATTAACCACAATGTAAAAACACTATTAAATACGTTTCATTAGTGATTATGGTGAAATATAAATTATCTAAACAGTATATTACCTAGATCAAAATTCATTTGTATTTTCTGAAATGTTCTAATGTTCACAAAAACATCGTGCCGTTGCTGAAATAATGTATAGGCATAACAGCTTAGACTTGAGTAACATATAACATATTATATACATTACAAAATCACATATTTACCCTTGTTACACCTTTTAACACTTCAAATTGCTGTTAACAAAAAGGAGTGTCAGAAACTATACACTAAAAACACCTAAGCAAATATTTAAACATCCAAATTTAGTGATATTTGTTTAGTCTGAATTTAAAATTAATCAGTGTTAATAAATATTTTTTGTATTCCATTAATTTGATATTGCTATGTATTATTCAACTTTTTATATCCATAACTACTTGTGAATAATTTTAGGCATTTTGTATTTCTTCACAATTTTGCAACAGTAAAAGATAAAGGTCAAATTAATTTTCTTCTGAGGGTATACCCGAAGGTATGGGTAGTAAACTCATTTATTTTTATGAATAATTAACATTGATGAATTCTTTAAAGAAATAGTTACTACTGATAGTTTAAATAACTTAAAAAATAAATTTATTTTTAACAATTCTAGAGATTCAATTTATAAATTGTTTATTTTACTAATGTGAACTAATAAAATCTCTTATATTATTTAATATTTCCAATTTGTGGTAATGAATATATTATAATATACACAAATTTATTCAAAAGCATCTGATATCTGTAGTGTTACGAAAATCTGAAACATGATTCTCATGCGCCCCTTAAAACACTGAAAAGAATATAAACACATTCTAAACCAATGTAGGATTGCCAATACCCACCTAAGGTTTTTGATAGAACACAAGCATTGTATCATAATAGTAATTTTTAAGAAAGTTATTTATATCCTTTAGGGATATCTGATGATGCCTTATGGTTTCACATGTTATAACACTGGAACTTTATATTGGGAGGAAAATGGCATAATAGTCAATAATGGAATGTGTGAAGAATTGTTGAAGATTAGGGACAGGAATTTTTCAGAGGTGAGCATATATGACAATTCTGTCAACATTCTTCACACTTTTTCGACATTAAATTACTGGGATCTAAAAAAAATCAAGAAGGAATATTCTCTGATAAAAATATTGGTAAAAGTATAATAACACTGAAGCCTCAGCACCAATCATCTTGGTAGAAGGTCCATTTGGACATACATTTTAAAATGGTAAACAAAATTATTGTTACAGTATACTAACACAGATATTAAAAGACATACATTTTAAGAATGCTATAAAGGTATTAAATTTCTAAATAATTTTTAAAATATAATTTCCAGCATTAAAATTAATTTTTTTTATAAATTTTACTAGATTTAAAATCTAATTACTAAGCTTTGAGATTGTATTTAAGATATAAATATTCAAGGTCAAAAATAAAAGAGAACAGATCCATTATGACTAATGAGTTAAAACTTTCCTTCTATGAATTTTGACCTCATTATTCTAAGAATTATAAATTCATAATTAACCAGACATTTTAGAAAATGAGCTTTTTTTAGGGGATAAATTTAAATAGATTCAATCAAATAATTTGTATAAGTATAAAACTGTTATTTATTTTATATTTAAGTCTTACATGCCTAATATATATTTTTTTAGCAAACGAAATATAAATAATTGCTGTACTTACATTTGTTATGTATTCTGAAAGTAAATCTTGAAGAGCTTGCCTAACAGCATTGCATTCAGCTACAATACGTTCTCGTCTTTCATCTCTGGTACAACTTGAGTCTGCCATTAAGGCAGCACCACTAATAATGCTCTCCAAGCGTTCTTCCAGTGATGGTCTTGTATGAACCTCATTGTAAGCAAGAGGTTCCATTACCATATGATCCTAGGAAATATAATAATAACAAAAAATTAAAAGTACTCTTTCTCCTTTAACTTTAATGTGTTTAGCCTTACTGGATATAAATCTAAATTTACTGATTGTTAAACTTACATCGAAATCATCTAATGCAGCTGCAAGCTCTCCAGGACCATCATAAGGTCCAGAAGCAGGTTGAGGTGTTCTACCCTGTGCAACATCATTAATAGTATTGACAGCCTCACAAACTTGCTTTAAAACATAATCCCTATTGGCCTTAGCAGCTGCCAATTCAGGGTGGCGCACATAAACCTTAGAAGCAGTTAAAAGCATAGTGGAATGTTTCTTAAGTACAGCTCTAGCAGCTGCCAAATCATCACGTAGCTGAGGATCTTTCAATTCCTATTAAATAATATTATATTTATGAGCAATAATAACAAATTTAAACTAAAATAAAGTTCCTGAATATTTCTAAGTGTTTGTGGTGTGATTAAATAGATTTCCTACTAATAAGCCCTAAAAAATTAACAATAAAGAACTCCTAAACAAATAGTTATAAATAATCATTATAAACATGCACTATTTTTCTCCTGTTACTAATGTAATTTCTAATCCAATTTTACAATGATTTAGTGATAGTATACATTTTAAGTGTAGCAATTAACAATTCATGACAGTTCTAAGAAATGCCATGGAGAAATAGGGGTAGACACTCCAAAGCTTCTTTAATGTAACCTAATATTAATTTATTTTAGTTTTTTGTTAGTTTGAAAGCAAAGGCCACATTTCGTGTATTCCGTATACCAACTTGGTTCATGAAAATATTTATGGAACGAAAACTGGCCAATAATTGAAAAATGTGAAAAAAAGATGAATGTTTCTGTATTTGTTTAAAATAATTTACGTTTTTAGCATTATTGAGATTAATAAAATAATAAATGAATGAGGCAGCACTATTTTTTATTTCAATAATATACTGTCTTACTCAAGTGATGTGGAATAATTACTCTGCAGAAGCCTCAGTTGCTATGGGTATCAAAATGTGTTTCTTTAATACATCATATGGAAACAACATTATGTTTTTTGTTAACAATGCTTTCTGTAAACAATTGTCAGACTTCAACTACTTTAACAGCTGGAAAAGATCAGTTGTTTTGGTCACAGATCTGTCAAGCGAGTTTCAGTAAATTAGCTTTCGTATACCAAACAGATTTCAGGAATGTGATAATTATGGAACACTAATTTGGTAACCAGGTTAACCAAGTGGATATACAGAATATACAGATTGTGTAGATTAAACAAAAAATACTGGATAGGCTTAAAGAAAACTACAATATTTAAATAAGCTGGGTAGAATAGCATTATTTTAAGAATATATGTAATCATAGGATTCTAGAACTAGGAGATTTTTATTTTTGTATATTTATGAAGAAAATATATATTCTATATTATAATTCATACCTGTTGTCTTTTAGCTGCCTGGTTCATCAGTTCATTGGCATTTTGGCCAAAGGCTTTAATATTGTCAAGAAGTTCCCCGTGGCTTGAAGCATTTTTCAGTTTTTCTAAATCATCTTCAACTACATGTAAGGACTTGAGCAAGAGGTGAACATCTACCATGTCAGCGAGAATTAACAGACGTGTCACAGCTGATAAAAGGTTTCTAGCTGCACGAACCATATTTCCCCTTTTTAAGGATGAACAAGGATCTTCAGAAAACTCCCTGGCAGCTATGCTCATAGCAGTACCTTAAAAAATTCAAATTTTTATATTTTTAAACATGTTGAAACGTAGTACTTACCTGTTTTCTTCACCTCATCAACAGCAGCTAACATTTCGTCTGTAATGTCTGGGTTTTCATAAGCAATTTGTTCACCTTTCTCAATAAAATTTTCAGTGGCTTTTTCTACAGTACTAACCAAAGCATTGGCACGTTTAGATTTCCCCTTTTTCTTTTTACTGGGCCCCTTAGTATTTACAAGAGTAGTAACTTGCAAAACAAGGGGCTCCAGTGTTTTTTCGACCGACATGGTTCTAATTTCTAAATTTTTGGGGTCCCATTTTAGTCCAAAACGATCAGTCATCATTTAATTGAGCTTCTGTTTTTCTTGTTACAAATAAAATTATATTTTAAATCTTAGAATGACTCACTACAAAACACTATAGAATTACTCAGTCCACTAAAGAAAAATAAATTCCTTATTGTTTATCTCGAAAATGAATCATAACTGCAAAGGTGTGTCAAACTGTCAATTGTCAAATTATATGACCACTCCTCTTCATGGTCTGTTTCTTCTTAAAACAAACAGCCACAAAGCTTTATCTTCTCTCCCACTGATTCTACACTATTGGTTGCAAAGTAGATCCAAAGTTTAAATAAAACAGAAATCTATTTAATTTTTGACTATTATGGCCATCTATGCTGCGTTTGAAAAGTACTCGTTTTGCTTGTTTTACTCGATACCGTTCTTTTTTCTCAGTTTGCTCGATGTCACGTGACCAAAAATCTACTCGCTCGGCTCGAGAAGGTACATTTCAAACGTAGCAATAAAAGGTAAGTAAAATCGTTGTCTTGTAGATAGAGAAACTAGAGAAAGGGACTCGTCGAACGCTTTCGAAAAAATCGCTCTCTCGTATGTATTAGGTCTTTTCCTTTGCATCGAAAGTGTAGCACTGGGCTACACCAATTCTGAAAATATCGTTCCATATATACAAATTGTATGGATGGAACGATATTTTCAGAAGTGACGCAGCTCAGTGCTACACTTTCGATGCAAAGGAAAAGACCTATTAAGTGGGAGAACGCAAAAGTATCTTTCAAGTAGCGATCTTAGTCTACCACACCAATGGTGTTTAGAAACAAGGATTGTGTAAAGTGCGCTTTTGCCAAATGTTATTTGTGACGTCACCGTAGAACCTCGTGCAATTTAATACACGTACTGTTGGACAATAAAGATGATTTTTGGTATATTATAGAACGATAAATAATATTTAAAATAAAAGAATAAGCAGAATTCCGCAGAGTTTTAATTTAATTTTAAATTTTATCAACCTTTTAAAACAATAACTGGAAAATCGTTAAAGCAATTGATCGCTATACAAAAGTAATAGTCAAAGCTTTTTAGAAAATATTTAGGAAACCCAATAAAAAACTTCTGGGTGTCCCAATAAAGTTCTGGTTTAAGAGGATTATGTATTATAGTTATTAGAAAAGCTTATTAGGAAGTTGTAAGTACAGTAATTAGACGTTTTATCAGTTACAGGATGTTACAGATTTAACTTTATGTCAATAATTTTTTAATCCGAGAATACTTTGAAATGTATTTTTACCTTTTATTCAGATGGACTGATTTTAAAAATATAGATAATTATTTTTAAATTAATATTTTGTTTAAAAGAACCATATGTACAGGGTGCCCCAAAAAGTTTTATATACGTAAATGGAAAAAATATATCTTGCATTTTACAGAATTCTTTTTGATAAAATGCTCTGCAAATTTGTAAAATGTTAGGTGGTATACCTACCTACTCATATTGTAGGTAGCAAATGCAAATATGTAATTGTATGATGCATATCTTTATTAAATGTAAAATTATGTATAATATAAAATAATAATGACAATCTATTATAATAATAAATAATGTCATAGTAACCTGTTACGTAGTAACGTTACTAGGTTCATTCAACGCGAGCTTAACCATTTATCTACTGCCACCATATACTTTGATTACTATACGGTGCAAGAGAGAGGTCCGACACGCCCAACATAGGGCGCGGCCATTTTGATTCCTATGCCACAGTTTATAGCTAAAGAATCAGATCGCTCACACTGCGTCGGCACTTTTGAACTCAATGTTCCAGTTTATACACTGCGCAACTCGAATAATACAATATATGACAACCGCCTATAATAAAACAGCAGTATTCTGCGTATCCTGAATTTGTATCCCTGGAGTGGATGTTATTTTGGAACTTTCAACTGGTCCGAGTGAGCTAACTGATTCTTTAGCAATAAACTGTGACTTCAAAAATAATATTCACTGACACTGACAGCAGCAAGCAAAATATCAGGTGCGTTTTAATGTTCCGCTTCTGCTTCCGAAATTGTCGGTTTAGTCGTTTTAACCTGTCAGATTAAAACAACAAAACCAACAATTCCGAGGCAGAAGCGGATGATTAAAACGCACCTATTAAAAATATTGCGCCAAGATGTAGGCAACACGTAATAAGGGATCAAAATGGCGGAGTTTTCTATCTCCTTTTAAAAGGCACTCAGAAAGCTGCGCAGTGCGACCATACTCCGTATAGTAATAGAAAATCAAAATATGTGACTGCCACAAAATAAAAATGTCACCACACGTATAAGGACCGATTCCACCGTTGTGTTAAACGAAGTTTAAAATGACATGTTTCACCGTTGTGTTAAACGAAGTTTAAAATGACATTGTTAATGTAAACATATCATTTTAATCTCCGTTTAACACAACGGTGGAATCGATCCTTAGTGACCTTACGTAAAAATAAAAGAAATAGTTCACGAATTATATTTTTGAACCATGATGTTAGGTTAGGTGTTAGGTTGAAAATAAGTGGGATGATCACATCACCTTCCACTGTGTTCTTTTATTCAGCGCTGTATCCAGCGCTTGCAGCAAACCGTTCCTAAATTAAGCGATGGAAAGGCGATTGTATGTGTCAATCGTTCTTTTTTCCGATGGATATGCGATGGATGAAGGGAGGGGATAGTAATTTGTTTGAACGTGTGAACACGATTATTTAAATAAAAGTTAACCTACAATATAAGAGCTTAAATATAAAACGGCTACAGAAGAGATAACTTACTGTTAATTTAAATTAAAACGGGTTTAATTTTTAAAGCGATGTCAAACGTCAAATTTTTCATTTGAGAAATGTCGTTCGTTCTTATATTCAGCGCAAATACCTTCCACCAGAAATTAATCTGACGTCATGACATCAATCACTGATGGAACAATTGTTGAATAAGAGAACACACCTATATGTATCTATTATGGCTCATGCCCAGAGATAACAGAGATATAAGCAGTCATTCATAAAATATAATATTCATGGTGCCAACATTAGTTGGTACTGTATACATTCTATTTCTAGACGCGGGACGAGGCGACGAAAGGTGAGAAGTAAAAGAAGGGATAGAGTGAAGAATTTTACGTAGTTTTATCAATGAATAACTGCGCGAGCTTATACTACATAACGTAAATTTCCATGCCGGTGTAAGCCCTGTTGCCACTTCCAATCTAACATCACTAGGTTTTGGAATTTGTTGAAAATTATTACATCTAATTTAATGAAATTACATCTAATTTGGTTAAAAATGGCTATTTTTTGTTCTAATGCTCTATTAGGTCTTTGTAGAAAGTATTTTTTTATAATTATTTAAAAAAATCATTTACATTAGCCCTTATGATCGAAAAAAAAATTTAAACGTCAATAGGTATCTCGGTTTCAACCGTCTACAAATTTGTATAAAAAATGTTCTTTTAGAAATATACCTCTCATTTGACGAAAAACGAAGGCATAAATGAAAAAAAACTATTCTTTATAAAAGTTTCGCCTATATATTGACAAGGTAAAAGTACTTTCGTTATATTTTTTGCTTTTAAATTAACAAAAATATAGCAATAAACAATTAGTGATGTCATGGTTTTACTAGAAAGCAAACAAAGGCAGAGCCTCTCGACTCTTTATACATCTATCTCAGTATTGAAATGAATGCAATCAGTTTGACCCTCTTATAATATTTTATTCAGGGATTATTGATTTATCCACTATGAATATAGGGTGTATTAATTACTACAAGATTTTTTTATTTTTGGTGTAAAATGAAAAATAAGAAAATATAAACTATTTATTGAAGGTATTTATTGAAGTATCAATTATAAACAGTAAGGCTATTGCTTTGCAAAATACAATAAATCCCCAATATAAATAAATTATAATAATAATAATAATAATTGGAAGGAAGTATATAAAGCATAAATTAATAATATTAAAATTTATAATTACACGACTTTCAAACTAATCAGAGAATCAGATTTACCACACGAATCAACATTTTTCAAAACATTAGCGGCTGTGCCATACAGGTGCAGAAACCGATACAGCAAATATTTTTTTTCTGTGTTTGCAAATTTTGCTTCCACAGTCTAGAACAAAATATTATTGTTAGAATATTGTATAGTATCTTTTTTGCATTTGCATTATGTAAGTTCTGTTATGTCTGGTGGAGGTCGGGCAGAGTCTTAAAAGTGGGTATCAGACTTCCATCTTGATCTACTTTCCATCCATACTCTTCAACATTAGGAAGCTGCATCTGGGTTTAAAGAGGTTAGCCAAATATTTAGCTGGTAAAAACATCTTAAACAATGTAGTTTTAGGGCGTCTTCAGTCGGTGGCAATTTAACGATGGTTTTTGAAGAGGCCAATAATCCTCTCAAAATGTTAATGGAAGTAACATTGGCAGTTTTGAATAAATTTTTATGAAAATTCTTTCAAGATTAGAGAATATGTTTTCAGAGTACTGATCAATGCCAAATCCATCCAAAAAGTAATGGTGTTCAAGGAAGGTTTTCCAACAGGTTCTTTTCCCAATGCCGGACAATTAGCTGGTTGTGTTACAACCGGTCAGAGAATGAAAAGCAGGCACATTTTTTAGAAGGTTTTCATCCAAATTTAAATAATGTACTGCTAGAAATCGTCTTGAGTCTCCTCGCCCTGTTCTGAACCATATATCTTTAGTCAAAAACTTCTTAAAATAAATTAATAAGACATCTGTATCGTTGCAATAAATAATGCAGCGTGAATGCCCCGTATTTTTGGCTGACAATATGTACAATAAGATACGATTATTAGCGTCTTCGTGATTTGAATTTAAAAAATCGTCTTTTGATGGTTCAAAATTCTTTCCATATTTATTTATTTTCGCGAGTTTTGAAGAAGTTGCTCTAGCAAAAAATGTGTTAAACGTCTTTTGTTAAATATCGAATGAATAAACAAGTTCTATTATTGCGGAAGTGAAATATTGGGTCGGTCAATTTCTATATCAATTGATTTCTGAAATCCTCTCTTTTGACGTGTTGTATTTTTGATAGAATGTCCTTTA